ACCGTTTTATAAGCAAAAATTCAACGTTTTGTAAGCTTAATGTTTATAATTGTAAACTTAAAAGAAGCTTTCTTTAAGTTTATTTTGCTTGTTGGGTGAAGATATGTATGTATTTTTATTTGTGTTAGTCAAACTGTAATGTACACTCACAAATTTGAATTTAAAAATTACTTATTGACCCACCCGTGGAGATCTTTTCTCACTGTAAATTTTATGTGCATCAGAATATCAAGGCGCCTATGTATGTAGATAAACCACACATTCACATCATAACAGCGCAAAAACTCAATTTGCAACTGGCGGAACAAGAAAGTAAAATTTATTGTACTTCCAAAAACATTCCTGCTTCTCCGGTTTAGTAGAGACACAAACCACATTATTTTCTTTTAAATACGTTGGCCAATGTAGTAGGCAAAACCAGTATTTTTGCCTCGCACAAAAGCGCCACCCCTGTTAAAATTTCTAAATGTTCTCTTCCTTTTCCCTACCGGGACTTCCGCTTTGTCCGTTGTATTCAAATGGAATTTTTATGCTGTGCTGTGGACTATAAGCTGGCCACTTACTTCTTTTTTTATGCACCAAAAAGAGTACCCAAATTGAAAAAATTCAACAAAATATGTTTTATCTCTATATTTCATTGATGAAATATTTTCCTAATACATAGATATTGGGATTATATTTGAAAAGCCAATTTTTCGAATGTTTGTGAACTATTTGTAATGATGCAACATAATTTTATTCAGTTAAATTCTCTGTAATAATTATTAATATTTGAGGAAATAGAAGCGACCTACATAGATCTACTGAGCTGATCCCATAAAAATTGACTCCATCCTTAGACCATTTAAGAAGTAAGGGAGCCATTGACCTATTATTTTGTAGATGGACAACCACACAATGTTTTCCAGTCACAGAAACTCAAGTACTGTAATGTGGTCTGTGAAAATTCTCAGACCCTCTCGTCTATAATTCAGAAATCATTCCAAAATTCATCTAGAGGATGTTATAAAGTTCCTAAAGTTCCTTCCCTAGGCACTCAGAAAGATCATATGACTAAACTGGGATCATATAAACCCATTGGGACCCAGGCTTTTCTAGAACTTCAGCTCCCGCGTTCCACCAAAATCCATATATCCAGGTACACACTATTTGTGCGTGTTTAATTGGCTCAATAGAGTTTTGCAGTTGACCAGAAGCCTTGATGTAATTTTGAAAGAGTCCAGGGCTTTTAGAAATGTCTGACATTGCCATCCTCCAGCATGCATGCACCAGTATACCAAAGGCTGCAAGTTCCACTTTCAGGAGTTATTAACTACATTGTAGGGCTTGTTGAAGGCTAATTACGGTAGCATTTTGAGTGCGAGTTTGATCTTAAAAGAATGGTTTTAAAACCATCAAGCGCTTACGAAAGTCTTGATTTCTGGTGCTTACCAAGTTTCTGAGACACAAAGCGTCCCCGGAAGCCTCATTGTCAATTAGTATGGGTATATGTGGTACACATATCATGGCTCTCAGTGCTTTGGTCCGGCCGGTGCGTATAGCTCCTGTAAAGGCTACACAGACTCATCGGTGTAATCGCGTCATAACCAGTTGCTAGAAAAACGTAAACAAGTTGCACAAGTGTGACGTCATACAAACAGCGATTCTGTCAAATTCACTGAGAGCGGAAAGCAGTACGGAGTAGAGGTTTACGCCGACAGGCCTTGCGGCGGCGGCGTGGTCAACTTCAAAAAGAATCGGCGGCGGCGGCGACGCCGGCGCGTCTGGAAACGCCGGCGCTACTGCCCATAAGGTAGAAAGTGCCATGGGGCTACTAATCTTATCATGTCATCACGTCAGCGTTAGGCATTCACCATGCCAATTCAGATTATAATTCTATTTAATTCATTCATTCAACTAGTTTTAAATTTAAATTACGTTACTTCCTACTTGAATTAAAATGTTGAGTGCCTGGCGCCGATGGATGGGCGAACAGAAGAAGGTCTGAGGTATGTACATACATACATACACACATGGCTATGTATGTTCTCTACACCCTGCAGGAAATGTATCTAACTATAAGCTAACTTTAAGTTGATTAGGAAGGAGCTAAAAGTCACTTATTATTTGTATATTTTCTTTGACGAAAGCTAACTATATTTCTATGGCGATGGCCGCGAAATAGTCAAGGGTGGTTTACCTCTGCATTTGATGTAGTCAAAGGTGGTTACCTCTGCATTTGATGTAACTAACTTGTAACTAACTAATTTTGGACATAAAATATCAATATGAAAACAAAATATTATTTTATTTTTTATTTTTATTTACTTTATTACATTTCATATTTGTTTTCATATCCTGCTGTAGGTGGTCCCATATTCGAACTCCGTCAGACATAACTTCAAAATGATAATATGTAATTTCGATCATCCTTTTATTTGTCCTCAACGCGTTTGTCCAAACGCGTTAAAAAAAAACAATATCCTTCATTACTCCTGCATTACTTGTCAACTAGTTTCAAGCTAGCTTTTTGTAGCTAACTACAAGTTATATAGTTTATAGAAATCCCGCAAAAAAGCTAACTACAACTGTGTTATTTTTTATTAATTGATAATAAAAAATTTTAAAAGTTAAGTTATTGGGATAATTTACGTCGCTGCAATAATCTTATCAACCGTTATGTTAAATTACGGAGTTCTTACGATTTTTTGCGGATTACATATTGNTTTTGGCCACTAGGCCAGAGATTATAAATGAATTTTTCGAAATTGTACCAAACGTCTGAAAAAAATGTACCCAATCAAATAAAAATGTACCAACAAATTTTTTTTTTTAACGATTTTACAAAAACAATGACTTAACGCTCTTTAAATAAAAATCGTTTGTACATATATGTGTTAAAAGTAGAATAAAAATTAGTTAAGCATTTCACTTTCTTTGACATAGTCACATTTTGGTTTAATGACTCTGTACGTATTCTTATTCCATGACAAAAATTGTGAGAGGATTTGATATAATTTTTTGCTTTTATAAAGAACCGAATGTTTTTACTTGAAATCTATTTCTACATTTAGTTTTCATCATATTTTGAACAGGAAAGATACGTTCGACGTTTGCTGAGGAATGTGGAATAGCCAATATACCTTGAGCTATTTTAAAAATGTTTGCAAACGTCGGGTCGTTCAGTTCATTTTTAACCGACTTCCAAAAAAGGAGGAGATTATCAGTTCGTCGGAATATTTGTATTTATTTATGTATGTTACCGCATAACTTTGGACCACGTCAACCGATTTCTTCTTGCATCGGAAAGGTAGTGTCTCAGAGGTGGTCCCATACTAATCTGGTTAAGATCCGATCAGTGGATCATGAGATATATGTATATATATATTTTTTTATATGAGAATTGAAGGCGGTTTTTTTTTGTTAAAAATTACTTGTTAATTATTTAGTTTAATTTGTTCCCAAACATCGCATTTGTACATATATTCAATTTTTTTTAAGTTCTCGTGCTCTAGGTGTGCGATAGAAAAAGACAAAGTCCCTTTCTATAAGAAATCGGAATTACTAATCTTGTAATGTAAAAAAAAATTTAATCGATGTTTGTGTGAAGTAGAGAAGGAAGAAAGTATTTATATAAATACGCAAGGCTCCATTTCCAAATTGTACCAAAACTGTCTATGGGGTGTCAATGTACTTTTTGGTTGCAAATTGTACCAAAAAAGCAAAATTGTGGCAACTTTATCATCCCTGCACTAGGCCAGTGCTGCATACGTAATAATCCGTTTTGTCGCTGTAATGAGTGACCAAAACGTCAGTTTGGGCGATATATCCTATGTTTTACCACTACGTTTCTGAAATCCTTGTTGTTAACATCTATGAGAAGTGACTTCTAGTTGAACCGGGTTATTCCTAGATAATTCACCTGAGGCGATAAATAATTTACGAAATTCCCTATGACTGTTAAGTTAAGTTGACTTTCCTTCTTTTGGTCAAGAAGCGATGGTGGACTTTGGTGGGTTTACTAACAAACCCTTTTCAGAGAACCATTTCTCATTCACCATAGTAAAAATATTATTCAACAGCTTTCCCCATAGAACTTTGTTACCGATTCACACACGCCCTCAATTTCAAATAATAAATGGAAACAATCAAAACAAACATCAAAAAAGAGAGAGTGGTGCCTACTTAATTTAGAAATCCCTCGGGTTACTTAACTCTGGGCCAGATTTTAATGCAGCGAGACATTGTCGGGTTTAGGAATATAAACATTTAACTCTGAGGTACTGAGCTCTGTATTTATATATTTAACTCTGGATTTTCTGCAAGTGGGCCTAAGTGCTTGAAAGTTCTACAAAACTTTAAAAGTTTTAAAGGCTTTGTGAAATAATAAATGTGAACGAAAATCTAGGAGCTTTGTAAAGCTCTGGTTTTTTTCCAAATAGGGGAATCGTAGGAAAGCTCTCGAAAAACTTTGTGAAAGCAGTTGAGTTGAACAAAGCTATTTAAAGACTAAGTCAAAGCTATTTAATTGAACAAAGTACTTTGTTGTAATAAAAGCGCTCGGTGAATAAAACAAACAATATCAATCTAAAACAATTCCAACTTGCTTAAAGGAACCCAATATAAATTAGAGCGAGAAATGCATCATACAGGAAGTTTTTTTTTTTAAGTAGATATTTTTTTATTGAGTTTTATTTTAGGCATCTAATAAAATAAGTCAATAACTTTCGGCGCGAGAATTATTTAAATATATGCGGTACATGTATGTAGGTATGTGACACAGTTTAACAGTTACAATCCGGATTTTTCTTATCGTACATTATCTACTAAACTTAATTTTAAGCTTTAACCTAAAGCTTAGTACTTAAGCTATTTTAAATAAATTCACTTATGTTATTCATCTACATGCATATAAAAATTACATTTTAAAAATAGGTAGCCTACAAATCTTTTTACAAAAAACAAAATCTTTCCAAATTACTGACAAAGAACAAAAAATTATATGCTTATATGTATGTATAAATTAGTTTTTATAAGCATTCAGGATTTCCATATATAAACTAAATTTAGGCAAATATTTTTTTTTTGTTGACAAATTCGTCATATGCATACATATGTGTGTGTTTATATATCAATCTTTAAGTTTATAACCGAAATTAATAGCAGATATATTTAAAGTTAAAATACTCGCTTAAGTGAAGCTATTACAAATGCAGCTGCGCTTAGTTTTCTAGTAGTTTTCTTACAGAAAAATAACACTTTAATTAAAATTATGTATGTAGGTATGTATGTAGGTATGTATGTATGTACATTTCTATGTTAAATCAATTGTATGCTTTGGTATTTTTAGTTTACTTGCAAATATGCACGATTTCTATTCTTCATTTAGAGCTGGGTTCCGAAGATTTTTCTTATCCTTCAGTATTGTGCATTTTTCCTGCTTTCACAATTTTTTTAAACCACCATTTTTTATAAATATTTCTAATTTTGAAGCACTACCACTCAGAAATACTTAATAAGACATTTTTGCCCTGTAGCTTCCTTCCATTCGCTTCAGTTCGCTTTAAAAATTAAAAAAAAAAAAAAGCTTTGAAACGGTTTCTAAACGCAGAGATTGATTAGGAAATGCAAGCTACGATTACTTCTGTCGCCTCCGATGTTAATATTGTTTCTGTGTTTTGAGTTCAGTCCTTGAAATTGTTCGGAATTTGAAATGCTCCTTAATAGCCTGGTGCATTTACTTCGTCGAGTGTAGAGATTTGAAAGTTATTTATTATTAAAGCAATGCCGTAAGCATCGAAAGAAATTTTTACTAAAGAACGATCTAGGTCGCACATGGTAGAGTAGATCTTATTTACTCCTTATTTGTTGTCTTATTCTATGTACAATTCCGCGTGAGCTGTGGAACATTTTCATTTTATATTATTCTAGGATTTTCTTTATTCCAGTCATATTTCGGTATGCTTATTTTCTATAAGTAGTTATCATAGCAAAGGTTTGAACTTTTTCTTCCTACACTTCTCGTAGTTTTGTAGCTGTCCACTCTGCTGTTGCCCTCTGGCTCACTGTTGCGGCAGCAACCCTAACTACAAATAGTTTCCTGTAAATATTTTTCCTTTTTCACATTTTCCCTCCTTCTCCTTTGCCTCTGCTTATGACGTTGTCATAAGCGCATCTTGTAAAACGCCACCATCGCTTAAGGGTCCATTGCTATTAGCTCCAACTGCAGCCCCTCCACTTTTCATCACTTTTGTCGGCGTTTCTTCGGTACTCGTTGTACTGGCTGCATCGGCAATGTCTTCATCTTCGATATCAGCATCTGCGCCACTTATACCACCCCCGCTCACATCTTTGGCTTCCTCCGTCGTATCTGTTATATTATTGCTGTCTAAGAGTTCCGTTTTATTCTGGCTTAGGTCCGCGGGTGAGATGTTACTGGAACTGTTACCGGTTGTATTGGCTATTAATAGACCCGAATATTTTATGCCGTTTAATTCGAGATTGACGACCAATTGTGGTTCACCATTGGCGCTAGTGCCTGCAAGAAGAAAGAAAAGGAAACAAGAAAAATTAGATTATAATTTTTTGAGAGGCGATAATTCATCGAGAAAGGAATTAAGGTATTCAATATTGGAATCATAAGCCTAACCCCGCAATTCTGTGCACTTCACAAATAAGTAAACCGGACTATTTGTCAAAAATTGGCGCCTAAAACTATGCCGGTAAGACTTATTTGTATTTGGCAAAATTAGTTATGCTTTTTTAAAGCGCCTAAAATTTAATTTTTGTAGCATTGGGCCGTATGAATAAAAATAAGCAATTGCTTTTTCTTAAAATTTCAGATCTTTTACTCAATGTATTCAAACAAAATTGAAGTAGAAGGTATGAAATTTTAAGAAAAAGCAATTGCTTAGTTTTTATTCATACGGCCCATTGTTTTAGTCATACTTTTTTTGACAAATAGTCAAGCTTGACATTTTTCGATAGCACATAATTCGGAGGTAAATCAGCAGTGGAATACTGAAAATCGCTACCAACATTTTCGTCGACAAAATTCTCTAAATGAAAAGCAGTGGGCCTAAAAGTATGCAACATGGAAAAGTAACAGATGCAATGTGTAAACAGCAAAATCTGGCAGAATGAGAGGACATGAAACTACATGTTGCATGTGCACGCTCTTTTATTTTGGAAATATTTGGTGATGAAAATTAGCGATATCGAATGTTGGAATACGTCTGGAGATTATTTTTAGGAAATGGTGATAGCTACACGTTGTAAGCTCTGATTTTTCCGCCACACCCTGCAATGATGTATATATTTATGCAACACCTAAATTTCAAAAATGACTGGTGACTATATAGGAGGCAGCCGATTGGCTACACACCAATGCTTTTCCCACTAGGGGGGGTAAATATCTACTCTGATGGCCAATCGGCAATCAGAGCACTGGTATCGCTAACGGCACGTTGGAAACTGGACGGGGAATGCCTGATCTCTCTCTCAACCGTCTCAAAATACTTCCAAATCAAGCCGATTTGAAAATTGCAGGGCTAGGCAGAGCACCCTCGAGGCCATCACCTCGGATAGGTACGGCGTAGGAGTACCGTTGGCAAACTGCGGCCTGCGCCTGGCCAGAAGAGCTCACTGTCGGCTCAGCGAGCGCTGGGCAAAAACCTTGACATGTAAAGTTGGAAGGTCCTTCGGGCCAGTTGTTGACTGGCTTAGAGCCAACTCTCGCTTCTTACAGGTTTACTGACCGTGTCGCAACTTAATGTCGACACTGATCCCTACTGCCGCAGCTACTCGAAGGACGAGGTGGAACCATCTCAACATTCCCTTCTCACACTCAAAAAAAAACTTCTCTTAATTGAAGAAAAACAGCAATCAAAATGAAGAAAAATGGCAACGAAATAGCACTAAAGAAGTTGTATCCTCTTTTCATGCCCAACATTTCTTCAAAATTATAGATTACATCCACGGTTCTATATTTTCGTGTACGTTTTCACACATTCCAAAGAAAAATTACTAATTCGGGAGAATTTTCTACTCATACGGTAGAATTTTCTACTCATTCGGTAAAATTTTCAACCTTAAAGTAAGGAAAATTTTTCTTTGATCCAGAGATGGATTTTTGGTTCAGTGCAGCTGCCCGTAATTCATTCATTGCGCATTTCATCGAAATCCCCGCAAAGCTCTCCGGAGGGGACATCAGCTGCCTGCGGAACTTAGTTTTGACCACCCAGTGCTTCTCATCTTAAGTTGTGTAATGTGGTAAGAACAATAGCCACTCTAATTAATGAAGTTCTCTTGTGGGGTCTGCCTCAATAACCTAACCTAACTATTACTATATAACCACTATTATGTCCTGCCTACTAAAGGTGAGCGATGTTTTAGATCTCTCAGTTGATATTTTTGAATTGCAGATTTGATCAGTTTTGTTACTCTCTGAGCTAATACAGCTATATACAGCCGTCCTCCAGATATTAATAAGGTTTGAGCCTATAAATACCTGGAATACTTCTTTTCTGGTCAAAATATCTCCCGAGTACAGGCAAATCCTATTCATATATTAAAATTTAATAGACCGTCTTAGAAATAGTTCGCTCGCGTAAACCTCAGCCTGAAAGACAGATTCGTCTTCCTCCATGTTGAAAACTGGGTCGTAATCCACAGATTCTTTCTCCAACACCCTGATCCGTCTCGGAGTCGCTGAAGATTTTACTATCTTTCCGTGGTTCAGATCGTTCCTTTTCCAAATAAAATCTGCATAAGCAGAAGACACTTGAATAACACTCCTGTCTAGATAGCAATCTTTTGAAGTTTCCTGATCTTCGGCTGCGTGGATAGTAAGTTATCGAAATGTCCATCTCAAGGTCCTGACCATTTACATAACTATATCTACCTGTAAGTTCCATAAGAGCTTGTCATCAATTCGTTGGATTAGACTTCTTTTCTTTTTCTAAGAGATGATAGCAATGCTCTCTGCATAGCTCTGCATCGCAAAGTCTGTGTCGCTAAGTAGACACGGCCTACCATGTCTAAATACGAGAGACTGTAATGTAAGCAACATTTCGTGGTTTCCCTTGCTCGCTAGAAGGGGCTACAGCCTTGCAAGTCTCTACCTTTTTATTCTGGACCAAGGTGTCGATAAGAGGATGCTCCATATTGACGAAAGGGCTTCGTGTGCTTAGGGAGAAAACTGTAGCATACCCTTTGTTCACAATATATTTCTAAATCTAAGACTTTGAAAAACACGAATGGCTGATCTTCCTAGCCGGTAGCCGTACTTAATAAAAAAAAATAGGTTTCTTTAAGAAAACAGTCTCTTATTTGCCTGACTTAAATGCTTTTCATAGTCGATAGAAGTCATGTTTTTATCATGGATAGAAGTAAAAGCCTGTATGAATTTGCTGTCTATATGAAAGATCTAAGTATGTAACTCTGCTTCAAACTTGATCAGAAAAAATCCTGTTTAGAAACGACTTTTTCCCCTTTTTGTCTCATAACGAAGTGCGAGTTGCGCCACTGCCCCTGTTTTGCATCTAAAAAATTTCTTACTAGTTCTTACCACAGATGCACATTTCCTCCATGAACCTACAAACTTGCAAATTGTTCAACTCTAAATTTCACTTATCCTATCTCCACTAAAAGAGAGTAAATGAAACTTCCCTCACGTCGCTTATACTTACCATTTCGCATAACGCGGAATTGCATGCCCGATAGCAGGTTGAGAGCATCTTCTACACCACCCAAACCTGGGCTTCTAGATTGCCCACCCGTACCACTGCCGCTGCAGTCCATCGCTGAAGTGGCACCATTATTATTATTATTATTATGCTGTTTAGAGAGATGTATCTTCTTTGTGGATATCGGAGAGATGTGCCCACTGCTCACGCCAACAATGCCATTGCCGCTGCCAGCACCACCATCACCACTACCGCCACCGCCACCACCTGCGGACGCCGCACTAGTCGAAGGCGAATTCTCAATGGCCGAGTCATCAGACTTATCGTGATTACCGCTCGAACTGTTGCCGAGATGTTGATGATGCGGCAGGTGCAAATTGTGTGGCAAATGCTGATGGCGATGATGCTGCGGGTGGTGGTGGTGATGACCATTCATTGATGCCGACCGATCGTTCTCGTCGCCGTCGCCGTCGCCGCCGTCACCGTCACCGCCTCCGCCCGCATGTGTCAATGAGTTGCCAGTCATGTTATGTGCATCGCTGCCATCCTCGTCGTTATCCTCACCATCCGAGTCCTGTGGCAGATTGTTGCTGTTGTGTTGATGAAAATTGGCCGCTGCCGCTGCTGCTGCTGCTGCCATGCCAGGCGGTAGATAAAAGCTGGTTGGAAAGCTGAGAGCTGACGCACCACCAACGCCACGTTTCGCTGGCGGTGGTTGATGTTGGAAATCGTCGCGGTCGCAAGCATCCGGTGTTTGTTCGCGTTCACGTTCCCGTTTTATGTTGGTGAGATTGGGCGGTGAGTCGGAAAGATTCAAAGCCTCGCTGCTAGAAAGATGGTGAAAAACAAAATATAGTGATTAGTATGGATGCAAACCACAGGCAGGGCATGTGGCACAAGCGAGGTGAATATGCCAGTAAAACTACCAGCAGATGGCGCCATTAATAACGATTAAAAATACTCACTGCTGTTCGCTCAGACCCGCTACGCCAAGTGCAACACCGCCGCTGACGCCACCACCGCCAATGCTTGCGGCACCTAAAGCACTTCCCTGCGGCGAGGCATTCATCGACGCTGGCGGGCTGGTGTTGTTGTGATACATTTGCCAAAAGGCTACACGTGACATCTCCAACGCGTTCATCGCCTCGCGTGTACTCATCTCTGGGCTCTGTGAACGCTGGCGTTGCGGCTTTATGTGTCCGGCGCTGCCACCACCACCACCCCCAACACCGGCAGAAGCTGCACCTGCACCTACACGCCCCGCGGCCATCGCTGCCGCAGCAGCCTCGCCTACTCCAACTCCGGCAGCATTGCCGCCAGCGGCCGCCGCCGCCGCTACTGCAACCGCGGCAACGCTACTCTGTTGCTCCTTCTTCACCTGTATAAGTTTTAGGTATTCCATCATACGCTGTTCGAACTCGTGCGTCACCAAATTCGGCATTTGGCCGAAGGTGGGCGCCATCAGTCTATGGTGTGCGGCAGCAGCGGCGGCCGCTGCTTGCGCCTGCTGATTGTTGGCGGCGTGTGTGACAAGCGCCAACGGTGACATTTGTTGAATGCCTTGCGGCAGCGATTGACGGCCGATTTGTGGCTAGAGTGTGGAGAAAGAGAAAGTGGAATGCTGATTAGTATGGTGTTAATAATTATTTTGTGCTTTAAGTATATCAATTAGTTTTTGATTTTACTCACCATTTGCATTTGACTATGCATTGCCTCGTATTGGCCATAGCTGGAGCGGCGGCCTTCGCGGCGATTACCGTCGATGGCGGCCTGTAGTTCGGAGGGTGTACTCAAATTTTTCTTATCGCATTCGTAGGGATAGAGATATTTCATATACCTGAAAGAGAGGAAAGCAAATTTGGGATTTAGTAGGGTTTGATTTGAGTAAGTTTCTTGATATATAGTATGTATATACATATGTGACGAAGAAAGACACGTTAGCGTCTTTTGGGTAATTTTACGGGACGGCCGAAAGAAAAGGTAGCATGATTTTACTTGTATCTTTTTCGCTCAGCTCGGCTTTTAAAATTGAAAACAAAAAAAACGGTAAGGTGTGTTTCTTCGTGCGGCGTCACATGTGGATATACGTATGTATGTATATATGTATTTATACATATGCCTAGTATTTTCTTCAACTATGTATGTAGAAAGCCTCCGAAGAGAGAAAACTAATAAATCTGTAATATTTTAATAAAAGTAACTGAAGTGACTTAAGAAGGTTTGACTTTGGAATAAAAAAATAAGAATAGGCTTCTCTTCAAAAGTTGTATATTTTTTATGACGCTTCTATGAAAAGGGCGTCCTAAGCCACGCCTATGGCTAGTTAATCGTTAAAATATTATTTTGGGAACCCTATGAAATATTGATTTAGGGAAAAAATTGCCAAAGTGTGTTTTCGAAGTGTCACAGAAGTATTAATAAATAATATGCCAATTCATCGGACCAGTTCAGTGAAACCGAAAACAGCCGAATTTCGTCAAAAAGAAAGTGATATTTCAATACGTTAATCAGAGTGTCCAAATTTGGCGATTTTCTGCCAATTTAGCGATCTTTTTTGGATATTTGCACGTAAAAATTTAGGAAATCGCCATTGGCGATTTTTTTCCTTCAAATAATTTTTTTCCAATTATAAAAATATACAAAACTTAGTTTCCAACGATAATTAAAAATACAGAAAAGGCTAATAAACTGCGTGATAAACTTGACTTAAGAAGCATATTAAAAGACTGTCAAAAATGTTTAGTCACCCTAATCGAAGAACTTTTGAACCGATTACCTAGTCAATTAAATACTTAAAAAAAAAAACGTTAATTTTGTCACCAGAAAAGTGTGTGAATCACAAGAGGGCGGGTTTCAGGGACCTGCCAATTCACTATTTGACTTTGAAGGAAAGAAAAGCAGCGGAAACTGAATATTTAAATCTTTTAACTTTCCCATGGAATAACTTTTTTCAGAACCATTCCATCGGACTCTGAAGAATTTTGGATAATTGCTTACGGAGTGAAAACCGCAACAGGCATTAAAATGTTTGGAAATATAAGTAAAGAAACCTTCATATTATTATCCTTGTCGCGCTCACATGCTTTTGTTAAGCGCGTAATGATTCAACAAAAACTAAGATTCGAAATAAGATGAGGTTGGAAAGCCTTAATACACTAGTTCGAAGAAAATGTTATATGATAAAAATAACACCTTTACACCGCATTTATTTCGGTGTTAATTTTATACTTTTCACTTCACTTCACGATAACGCAGAACGGGAATTGACGCTGTGGTCATTAAAGCACAAGAAGTACGAAGCGACTTATGCCACTTTCAAAATAAACGGCTCATATTTTAAGTTGAGACAGGGCATTTTAGAACAACATTCTGCGTTCTTTAAGCTAATTCTGAATTATGGGGTTCTTCTGAAGTAGGGCGTTCTTGAGCCATTTTCTAAGATAGAGCGTTTCCGAACGGGATGCTGAGATCATATATGTAATACTCCTATATTGGCAGTAAGAGCTAGTACCGTCCGAAAACACTACAGTACAGATATATCAATGAACACGTACGAAAGAATAGGAACTCACACGTTTATAAATAAACATGTACACAACACATATACAAAAACGGCACTCAAGTACACAATACATTGACAAAAACGGTACTAGACTGTCTCGCTTTGATTACGGAATGCTTACACATTGAGAAGTTAGCTTCCTGCCAATAAAGAAGTATTACATATATGGCTGAGATAGGTCGATCTTCCACTCAGCCGCCGATCTGCTGTATTCATTCTTCGGATTAACATTCCAGTAATTGCCACCTGTTTCCAAATCTAAGGGAATTAAACAACCAGAAAACCCTTGCCAAACTCGATCTTGTAATAGTTATCGATACATTTATTTATATATCGGTGTTTGTCGCAATCTAATTATGGTTGAGCATTTATTTTATCTGTCATTACTTCTTTGACGCTGCTGAACACCTATAACATTCTCTTGGAAATCCATTTTCTCAAAAACATTAAAGCGTATCGCGAGACGGGACGGTCTACCAGACTAAAGTAGTTTATAGCATCACGGATACTGACTGTGGAGGCAGTAAATTTTCTCTAGCCTCTTTTGACGGCTTTAAATCACTTCGCCTGGATGGTGGTTATCCGAAGATAGCCACAAAGTGTAATGGAGAAAACTAGGAAAGGATGATTATATGCCAATCAGTTTGACAGCTTTAATTGTGAAGAAATGTACATTAGATAAAAGGTTTTGTTGGGCAAAGCTCGAATCGAGTCTGGAGGCAGAGGAGTACAAAGTGGGAGCCTTAAGCAGAGATCAGACAATTTGTACATTTGTCCATTTGGCAGTTACAGAGTGGTATTGTCTAGAAATGTTTAACGAGAATGAGTTCAGCTCAATAACAACTTTCCAAACAATACCACTCTGTAACGGTGAAAATGGATAAATCTAGACAAATGTACAACTCGTGTGATCCCTACTTTAGATTATGTTGAGAGGCGTTGTTAAGCAACGTTACTTCCGACTCTCGGTGATCTGCAGCCAGGCGGCATGGCGTCTTTGTTGCCTCTTACCTAGCAGAAATTCAACAGAGCCGCTGTTGCTCGTAATACTTTGTTGGATTTGTTACGCCTGGATTTAGTGATCCAGGAGGAAGCAGTGAAAACTATGTGTTGACTGTATTATTTTGAATTGTTGCACGATGAGTTAGAGAATTGTTTAGACGGTTGTCAGAGTAAGTAATAACTAGGGATGTGCCGGGTATTCGGTATATCCGGAGTCCGGCTTATGCAGCCATATTTTGGTTATCCGACTTTTTAGATCAGTATCCGGCCGGATTACCGGATATTGACTCTAGAAATTTTAAGTGAAAGCCTTTTTCAGAAAAGTTTGTTCTTTGTATTTTTTATAATCAAGTTTTTTATTAAAGTTAAAGATTTTCATATAATTAATTGTGAAACGAAACTTTTCCGCATAAAAAGGCAACAAACTAAATATTTGTATTTTTTTAGCATAAATGATACCAGATGCACTAATCATTCTATCTGAGATCACTAGAGAAGCTGGTCTTCTTGTCTTCTGAGAATAAAGGAGAGTATTAAATACTTCGTCATTTCATTTTAGTTGTTTATGATTTTTATTTTTTCATTAAAAACATAAACTTTATTTTTGAAAAAAAAATTTTGCATCATCCCATAACCGTTAACCTCAGATTTAATTAGATCATAGAGGATTTAAAACGGCAATTAAAAACCCATCTTCCTTATAACGATTGACAATGATCGAAAAAATAAAAATCAAAATTTAACTATTATTCTTGATTTTAAAATAAACATTTAAAATTAACAATTTTGCAATGATCTAAAAATAAAAATCATGGTATTTAATTTTTATTTTCGGTGCCATGGAATCTCGTTACTAAGGTACAGAATAGATATGTACCTGGAAAACCACCAACTTTTTTATGGCAGACAGAAGCAGAATACCCTAAAGCAGTGATTCCCAAAGTGGCCAAGTGAACCAACAGGAGTCCACGAGAGACTTGAAGGGGGTCTACGTTGGCGTGAAAAGGAAATCGGGGTTCATAAGTTGTAAGTGTGGGTCCATGAAATAACAAAAATATTGGCTTGGTTTTCCTATCAATGTAGGCAGATAATACACTACTCAAAAAAATTAAGAGAACAAAAAAACATGTATAATTTTTCGGTGATAAATGGTCACAACAACATTTTTTTTCAGTTAGGCCAGCCTATGGATTAGATGGCCTGTTTATTAAGCTTCAACCTGCTTTTTTTGAACCTCCCTTAATTTTTTTGAGGAGTGTATTTTAAGGCCAAGTTCGCAAAGATTTCTCTAGGAGGAATACAATTTCAATCTTCCTTATTACAACTCAATTCACGGGCAATCAATTTAGATTTATTTTATTTGTGAGTTAAACATGAAAGAGCGTTCTTCCACTAAACGTAAGATCTAAATTTCACAATTTTTGACGAGTTTTGGCAATATGGTAGAAATGTAGCAGCAGAGGCTCTACCGAAACTAGTAAAATTTTAAAAGGGATCTACTAGAAAAAAGTGTTTGGGAACCTCTGCCCTAAAGGAATCAACACATTTTCGCTAATGCCGAATTTTGCCGATTTGTATGAGTTATTTTTTTTGGATTTGAATACGCAAAAAAGTTGTATTGAAAGTTGTGTAAAGTAATTGAACAAATTAGTTCGGGAAGTTTAGGTTCTATCCTGTAAAATTTGGAAAACTAGATTTTCACTCTAAGCTAGCGATATTTAATACGAAAATGAAGCTTCATTGTTTGAATACGCGCTGTTTTCAACTACATATAGCCCTTTTCGATCTCCTAGACTTTCCTATAAGGCTCTGATACACTCCTCAATATAGCAAGACACAAATATTTAATGCCTGCGTTACAAAAAAAACCCCAGTGTTGTCTCTTGTATTTATTAGTCATAATCAAAAAATTTGCATTGCTTTCATATACGCCGCTGAATGGCATTGCACATTAATTGAGAAAATCAAATAAAAAAGGCTGTACATTTGAAACACAAATCCAAGCGAACATCGAAGAAATAAATGCCTTCGCCATGAGAAGTCAATGATGATTATCAACGATCGTGGCTGTGGGCCTAAATCAACAAAAATATTTCCATTGTTGCACTTAACTGTTGGAAAGAGACAAAAGGCGGGGCGGTGGAAGGAGAAAGAACGCTACGAGCAATAAGACAAACTCCGATGACAAGACAAAATGCAAATGCAAATTCTCCAATGAGTAAACACGGACCGACAAGCTGAGATGCCGCCAACGGATCGGCCGCTAACCAAAA